CTGGCCACCAGCGCGTTGTGGTACTGCTGCCGGGTCACCTGGGCACACAGACACAAGTGCCCAGCTTAGTGAGCACCAAGCCACGCTGGGACCTCCCAGGGACCTGGTGGCACTAATCCCCTGGTCAGCAGGAGCGTGACACCCCTGAACGCCCACTGGGCACGCAGCAGGCTCCTGGGGCACAGCAGTGCCTGGGTGGCGGTGGCCGGGGTAGGACAGTCCCTGCCAGCCCAGCCGGTACCTTGACAAACTGCACGTCGCAGAGGATGTGCACAGAGTAGTCAGGTGTGTAGATGTTGTTGCTGCTGCTGTGGAGCTGCGTGGTGCTGCCCCCGTAGTCGTTGTGCTCCCGGTTGGGCGACTCGGAGCGGTTGAGCCCGCTGCACCGCGACGGTGACCTGTTCACTGCGGGAGGGGATGGCACAGAGGCAAGCACTCACTACCACTTGTGGTGCCACTCGGGTCCCCGGTGCAGGGCCTGGGTTGACCGGTCACCTCCGGTGGCTGTGCCCCAAGGACACCAGGGCTGGCAAGGGCCCTGTGGTGACCTGCAGTGGGGTCCTCCTCAGTGCACACTGTCATCAGAGGCTCTGTGCCATGCCAGCCCCACGCACACCAAAGGGACCGGGCTGCCTGCCTGTCACACCGACTGACTGACAGCTCTCCTGCTAACACAGGCCTTCTGCATGGCGTTTGGCACAAATTGTCCTGGCTGCAGCTGACAGCCTATGGGGATTTAACTTAACCTGCCTCGAGGGCACACTCCTGTCCACCCTGACTCTGACAGAACAGGAGCAGAGGCTGCCACGGCAAGCTGGCCTGTCACTCACGTTGACTGATGGCCTCTGACACGAGGCATGATGGATTTTGTCTGGTCAGTGATTTATTAGGGAACAAAGGCAGCTTGTTACTTGACAGGTGACGTCAACATCTTGCTGACTTTGCTCTGCTGCTATTATTGCTGCTATCTATCTGCCCTTCTACTACCTGGAAAGCAAACGAAGCAGAGCAGTGTGCAATGCACGGCTGTGAGTAACTGTGGTCAGAAGCAGCAAGTAGCAAGAAAACCCACGCAGGGAATTATAGAAACTGCACACCAAAGAAAGCCCAAGCTGTCCATGGCTCCCCCTTGTCCCCCCCATTCTTCCTGGGGTTTGCATCTTCCTAGGGATGCTGCAGCAGGGATAGGGCTGCTGTCCCCCAATCTGCCACCCACACTCCAACAGGTGAGGGGCTGCCTGGCGTGGGGTGATGTGGGTGCTCCTCTCCTGGCACTGCCCGGCATGCAGGGTGGAGGAGGCCTGGTGCACGGTGCACAGGGAACCCGAAAGAGCCCAGCACATATGGAAGCCAGAAGCCCCTTCCCCAAGCCATGCCCCATTACCTGGAGAGCCAGCCAGGGAGTCCCCTCTGCTGAAGGCAAAGGTGCGGGACACTGAGACAGGCACTGCAGAGAGAGGGAGAGGGAAGGAAGGAGGGGATGGGGGAAGGCAAGAGACAGCAGTGAGAGTGGAAGACAGACCAAGAGGAAGAATGAGAAAAAGAATTGTGTGCCAGCAGCCCTGGGCTGGCTCCCACCACTCCAGCATCCCTTCCCACCCCTCTTACACGCTCCTGCTTCTGCTCCAGGGAGGTGCTCGCCAGCCCTGGGTACAGGGACACAGACTTGAATGCTGTAAATCAACAGGCTGCTCTGTGATGAGGTAAGAGGAGGTAAGCCTGGGGGGGGACCAGCTCTTGCCAGGCCTGCCTGCACAGCCACACATCTCCCTAGAGCCATGGTGTGGGCAGAAAGCATCTTCTTCCCACTGGCTGAGTGCTGCCACCCTGCTCCAGCCCTTCGCCAGCCACTGCCAGGAGATGGGACTTTGTGGTCAGCTTGTGCCACCTGGGAGATGGAAGCTAAACCGAGTCACTGTGCTTGGCATCTGGGATGCTTCTGTGTGTGTAGGCAGGTGGCAGAGGGGGAGTGTGCTCTGAAACAGCCCCTGCCTCCACACAGCCCCTCAGCTGCAGGCTGGGGCTGGCAGGAGCACCTCGGCATGATGCAAAGCGAAGGCATTTGTGCTGGGCTGCCTGTGGCTCCCCACAAGGCCCTGGGTCTCAACAGACTTATGGCGATGCCAAGAAGAGCCACCCACTGGGACCTGCTTCGTGTGGAACCACAAGAAGCCAGGACCCCGCATCTGGGGCTGCCTGACCCATTGTCACAGAGAGGGTGAATCACAGGCCCTTCACTTTCCACATTTGATTTCCACGGGTTACAGCAGCAGTGACAATTTCAAGGGCAGGCGATCCTCCTCCCTGTGACTTGCTGCCTGCGGGGAGTTGCCCTGCTCCTCTCCACAGCATCCCTCGGCCATGCCACAGGGGTGCAGAGCTCCATGAGGGAACAGGGAGAGCCCAACACACAGGATGTACTCATTAACATCTCTCCATGCCTTATCTCTGCTCTCAGCACCCACCTCAAAAGCAGCGGGATACACGAGCCCGCTGGTTGCCAGCCCTCTATTCCAGCCACGGCCGTGCTTTCCCCCAGCTGCCGGCCCTCTTGCCTGGGGCGCGCTGCCCTCCCTCCAGCCACTGTGCCCGCAGCACGGCTGCAACGCTCTAGGAACCATCTGCTGCCTATGTGATTAAAGTTTTTAAATTGCTTCGAAGGTAAAACCCCCAGAAAATTTGCCCTGCAGCCCCCTCCTTCTGATCTCCCTGCTCCTCCCCCAGTAACTCCTGTTCTGTGTCCTCCCCTGGACTGAAACCTTCTGCAAATAAAAGTCCAAGCAAAGGCACCAGCACAAAGTGCTGCCCAAAACAACCTCGTCCAGCCAGGAGCAAAGGACAGGTTGATAACCACAAGCACTCGCTACCTGCTCTCACCGCCCGACCCTCCCACAGCAGGGCTGGCCATGCCGGGTCTCTGCTGCCGCACCCCTGCCCCAGCTGACAATGCCAAAGATTGCCTAGCAATAAAAAAGTTGCATAACATCAGTTAATTAATAACAAATTGTTAAATGCTCAAGTGTTAACATCTGAACTCTCTGCTGTGACATGCTACTCACATTCATTTCTGCTGGGCTTTGCTTGAAGGAGGGCGTCAGCCTGACAAGGGGAATACCTTGCGACCTCTGCCTCCCACCCTGCCCCCTTGCTGGCCAGGGGCACGGCACTGCACACACCACACACGCGTCCCACGGCAGGCAGGGGTGGCTGGATGGCAGAAAACATCTCATGACACAGCATCATGCGAGAGCACGGGGAGCAAAGGAGCCCTGAGCGGGCTCCTGCCGTGGCCCGTGCTCTGCCTGCCCCATCACCCATGGGCAGCACTCATTGCCTGAGCCCCGGTGGGGCTCTGCGGATGGTCACCGAGGGCATGGGGGCATCGGGCCGTGGAGCAATATCCCAGGGGAAACTGGCCACTTCAGTGATTTCCTCTGTCCAAAGTGAGCGTTGCGGACACACGGGGGAGCAGAAATGTACATTGAGGGGTTAATCCAGCAGTCCACGGGCCAGCCTTTCGAATGGAAGCAAAGCAAGCAGCAAGAAATAGCTGAACCCGAGAGCTGCACGCAGACTGGAACCCACAGGAATGACAGTCACCTGCCCCAAGGGACTCCCCTCATTCTCTCAACAACATCTCTCCCTACACCTCCCTAAAGGTTGAATTTAGTGGGCTGTTTTGATTAGGCACCCAGAGCATCCTCAGCTTAACATCAGCACTGCAGATCCAACTGCAACATCTGGGGTTTGGGTTGAGGGATGTGCCAGGCTGGGGGTGGGCAGCACTTCCACCTGCTCCCAAGCCATCGGGGACTAAACATTTGCAGGGGTGACGAGCAAAGAAGTGGGGGCTCACAGTCTCCCCTAAGCAGAGCTCTCTTAACTCCTGCAAGCAGAGGATCTACTTGTTAACCCATCAGCTCAGCACACAGGGAATTTACCAGCACTGGGGTATCTACTTTTAACTCAGCTAATTATCCACCACCACCACACGCAAACAGCTCACAGGTAAATTGACCCATCTCTGCAATTCCTGAGCAGACCCTGTCCCCCACAGCATGGGACCCATGTTCAGCTCGTGCTCCAAGCCTCAGGAACACAAACGGGTCCAGAGATGTTACGCTGAGACCTAGACGCACCGTGCCAGAAGTTGCAGGGTTTACTGCTCCCATCTGCACGGGCATGCTGCCACCCATGGGCAGTGGCCCTTGCAGTGCCAGCTGTGCTGGGATCCACCTGCAGGGATCCAGGTCATGGCTGAAACTTCAAAGGGACCTCAAAGTCCCTCTGCCAGAACTTTGCTGCATCAGCTCCTCAGCACGTCATTTCTCAACTGAGCTTTTCAAAGGGGGCGACCTTGGTACAGAGCCTGAGCTGTTCTGTGTGGGATGCAAATCCATCCCTTCTCCAGCCAGCCGGTGCCACAGAGAAGAGGTTTTAGAGTCTCAGCCTGTCCTGAAATACTTACATAGGAAGGAGGATCCAGCCAGGCTGCCCACTTTTCGCACATCGTTATCTGAAAGGACAGCTGGAGGTGTAGGAATCGCAGAGGAAGTGCTCCCACCTGCCCCACACCCCGCAGCAGGGCCAGCCCATTCTCCTGGCCACCAGCCACCTTGGAGGGAGGAGCCCCCATGGAGGCTGCCAAAGCAAAGGGAGGGCCAGATGGACCCCACAGAGCCTTTACCTGAGGAGATGACAGCCATGATGGCAGGGACACCGTAGTAGGTGAATGCCCCATTCTCAAACCGCAGCCCTTCCTTGCCAACCTCCACCTCCACTTTCCCCTGGAAGGAGAAGGAAAATCCACTCAGACAGGCACCCCACGCTCCTGGCCATCCACCCACCCAGGGCTGCAGGGATCCCCACCACACCCATGATAAGATGGGCATCTCCACTGGTAGAAGGAGCCCAGAGCAAGGCAGTGAGGAGAGACAGGCCACCCCCTGCCACCCTCCGCTTGCTGCTGCTCCACGTACCTGCAGGATGAGGACAAAGTAGTCGACGGGGCGGTTGCGCTGGTAGAGGTAATGCTCCGCTGCCTTCTTGTTCTTTCGGTCGTACTTGAGCTCCTGGATGACGTTGGGATGCTTCAGGAGCCGCAGCAGGATCTTCTCGGAGAGGTAGGGGGACTTGAAAGGCTCCACTTCTAGAGGGGAGGCAACACACGCTTGCTTAGCAGGGCCAGGGCTGCTGGGAAGCTGCACAGCCCCCCTTCCTCCAGCCTCAGCTCCCCACTGCATGGAGGGGAGCCAAACGCAGACCCATGCTGGTGGAGCAGTGGGATGCCGAGGGTGGGAGGTCTGGGCAGATGGAAACTGCTCACTGCGGGGGAGCCTGACCCAGGAATGGCTGAGGGATGCCCTGTGGGGCTGGTGCTGCTGCAGGGAGATGCAGGGCTTGCACAAGGGCAAGGGTACCTGTTGCCATGAACCGATGGGTAGCCAGGAGGAGCTGTGGGGAGATCTTCACCTTCATCTCACTGTCCGAGAGCCTGAAGATGGAGAAGTCCTGGGGCTTGCGTCCCCGGTGGGGCACCCGTTCCTTCTTCCGATTGTTCGCTGCAGGGCAGAGAGCAGAGCGGTCACCTGCCTGCAGCAGCCACAAAGCCACTGCAGCTGCAGGGCCCATACCACATGCACACATATATAGAGAGGCGCGTTTTGCTGCACCCTATGGCAGGACTGCTGTGAAGCAGAAGCTGGAGCAGTGGGGTGCACAAAACGTGCCATGCATCAGTCTTGGGAGCAGCTCCCTGGGGAGGGAACAGGGCGGTGAAACATGCTTCTTAGAAGCAAGTCCTGGGTTGCCCTGGCTGGATGCATCACCCAGAGTTGGAAAGGAGCTTGAGAACCACCCATGGGCACTTCATGCCCAACACAGGTATCCCTGGGTCAGGCCCTGCCCAGCCACTGGCTGCTGATGCTGGTGCTTCTCTTTCTTGAGCAATCAAGACTCCCTGACACCTGACCAGCATCTCTCCATCATTCTTGTCTTTCCCACCATGACTGAATTGCTCTGGGGAAGGACCATGATTTGCTCTGGCCTGTTTCCTACCCACATGTCTGTCTGTGTGGGCTCCCACCCTGGCTCCTGCAACCGCAGTAGCTGCTCTGGGACACTAACTGTACAGATCCGTCTCATCCAGGATCTCGGACTTGATGATCTCCTCAATGACATCCTCCAGGGTGACAATGCCCATCACCTCGTAGAATGGGTCTCCTTCCCCTTCGTTGTTCACTCGCTGCACGATGGCCAGGTGGGACTTTCCTGCGAGGGGAAAACAGAGCGGCAGTGAGACCCCCCACCCCTGGCGAGAGGCACATCGGGCTGGGAGATGGACAGGGCTCGGTGGGAGGCACAGATCACAGCCAAACCTCAGAAGCAGCCGCCATTGCCCAAACTCACCCCAGCCACGCTAAGCCAAGAAGAAGGGCTGGACACACAGCCCAGCCTAACAGTGCTGCTACTCCCCAGGCTGTCACAGGTGTCCCCTAGGTGTCACAGGACTCTGCCTGGCTCTTTTTTGGGGGCCGCTTGCTCTATTTATCCAGACAATCTGTTGTGAGTCACTCTGTTTAGCTCTTTGACAGCACCCTGTGCAGGAAAGAAGTGTACATTATACCAGCTGCTTCTTGCTTACCCTCAGCTTCATTGGGATGAGACAACTCTGACAGAGCAGTGAGACAGCGTCCTCCAACACAGAAATGTGAGCATGTCCTTGAGCTCTACTGGTTTCCCTCATCCTCCTGGTGTATTCTCATTCTGTTGTTTATTATCGTTTCTATTAAACTGCCAAGAACTGCTCCCCCACATCTTTCTATCCATCACTGTCTGGACCAATCCTAAAGTTTTTCTTAAAATACAGGCAAAGCCTCCAGCTCCTCAGAACAGCAGCTGGTTTTAATGCAGAAATGCGTGTTTGTTTGCAGGTTTCAGCCCAGCTCCTGCAGAACTCTTGGGTGAACCATCTGGACACAGAGGCGGAACGCTTTTCAAACCATCGTCTTGCATCTGAACATCTTCTCCAAACCTTGCTCCGGACAGCACCTCCTCCCTGTTACCTTAAACAAGCAGACTGGGGCCAGGACCTTCAGCCGCAATGATAGTGACTCCTGCTTGGAAGTGGCAGTGTTTCTCAATCACAGTTTCAGCTTCCTCACTTGTCCCCAATAACCTGGCAGCTCTGCTGACACGTTCTCAGGCTTCTTGCTTTTCGCATACTTGAAACATTGCTATTTGTTTTCGCATGTCCAGCTCTCTGTAAGCTGTTTTGACTTCTTCAACTTCTCCCTTCCTTTATTGTCTGCTCTGATTTATGTTCCTGCTCAGTAGCTTGACCAGAACCCAACTTCTAAGTCACAAACAACTTCTGGGTCTCTAGCTCCAACGTGTTCTTGGACCTGCCAATGAACAGCACTGGTTTTCTTACTGCCCCTGTGGCTCCTACACTGCTCAGCAGCACTCACAGGTTCCGAACTTCTAGTTTTACTTAAAATGTTAAAAATGTCCTTCATCAGCACCACAGCCAACAACTTCCCCTCCCTCTGTTTCCTCTGTTTCCCTTTGCAATGCCTGCACAAACCCAACTGCACCGTGCACACTGCAGGGACCTCCAGAAACCTGCAAACACCTTATTTTCCCCACGAGCCTGGAGCTGAGCTCCTTGAGCAGCAATGGTCACCTGAAGGGGGGCAGGTCCCTTCTGCTACGCAGCTGCCTCTGCATCTGCTTCTTCCATAAAGCCTCCCCAGCAAAATCGCCTGCTGCTCCGGGTGAGGGGATGTGAACAGTATTTATGTAGAAAGATGCAATATGGGTGGGCTCCTGCCTGCTGCGCAGCTCTCTGCACTCGCTGGTGCCTTCTGGCTCATCCCTGCAGTGGGACAGGGATGAGCACACGCAGGGCAGCCCGGCAGTCCCACCAAATACATCTTGCTGGGGAACATGTGACCTTCAAATAACCCTGCCCTGGATCTGAGATGAGCAAATGATATTTCTCAGCCTAAGATCAGCATTACACTTTTCTCACAGCAAAGCTTGGGCATTTTCCACAGTATAAATTCCCTCTTCCTCATACCAAGCTTTTATTGCAAGATTTCAGAGAGCAGCTCCCTGCCTCCCACGCCTACAGAATTAGAAACGAGAACATAACATCGCAGCAAGTAGCACCGAGATGCACTTTAAAAAACCAAATCAATAGCCTGCGGGCACTGAAATTTCAGCATGTTCTTTGGACTGGGCTTTTTCACTCCTTTCACATGCAGGTTTGTGCATCTTGTCTAATCAGTGGGTAATAAAGCAACACAACTTGAGACTTAAAAAAGCAGCGGAGTTGGCCGCAAGACAGCAGCAACAGCTACGTTTCATCTTAGCAAAGTCCAGCTTTCAAAAATGTCTCCTTTAGCCAAACCTCGCTCCCAAACACTGGGGCCATCTGGTCTCCTACACGTCCTTGGGTAAGCAAGGAGAGGGGAGAAGTTATTTCTTTTGGCCGAACGCTTGTTGTTAATGACATTTACATGCAATCCAAAACCACTGAGCCCTTACAAAAAGCTTAGGTGCTACTTAAAGGGAGTCAGAGAGTAATGGAGGCAATTCTTTTTTTGGCCAAACACCTACATCGACACTGTAATTTACTCTAGAGCAGCCTCAGAGAAATGTGATTCCAGTTCCATGTTCACACAGCAGCAAATGAGGTTATTTAGAAGTAACCCAGCACCGTTAGCCTGGGAGGAGACCCACGGTTTCACTGCGCTGGGGGCAGAGCCAGAAGGGCTGTTAGAGCACTCAAGAGTTTTTTATTTTCACAGAAAATAAACACTTTTAGCCACACTATAAACCCCCGGGTTTAGGTTTCCAGGCTAACACCCACATTAGAGATGGAGCAGGTACTCAGTGATGGAAAATTGTTGCAATTCATGTGGTTGCTCCTGGCCCGCACTGAGCGAGCTGATCCTAGCCCCTGCCTGGCCAGCTGACACCCGTATCACAAAACCACCCCAAAACCCACTGCCACCCCTCGCAGAGCTCCTGTAAATGACTGCTGCTCCCAGCTGGCCCCCACTGGGAAAGGGGTGACTTGCCCTGATCTCCCACCTGAGGGACATGAGATCATTTACAAAGTCCTGCCCCCCACCCCAGCTGGGTCCTGTGTCTCCTCCCATCACTTTTTTAACAGACCATATAAATTTGGCAGGAGGGGCAATGGGGGTTTGCAGGTGCCCTGGCTGTACAGTCATGGCTTGTTCCCTCATGGGCTGGGGATGCTGCCAAGCTTGACTGTAGCACCTTTCCAAGCCCTGGGAGCTGCCACACTTGCACAGAGGAAGCGCGGTGGC